CACACACTAAAACACACTAAACACACACTAAACACACAGACACACACTAAACACACACTAAACACACACAACACACACTAAACACACAGACACACACTAAACACAGACACACACTAAACACACACTAACACACACACACACTAAACACACACATACACACATACACACACACTAAACACACACTAAACACACAGACACACACTAAACACACAGACACACACTAAACACAAACACACACACACACACATACACACACACTAAACACACACTAAACACACACTAAACACACAGACACACACTAAACACACACTAAAAACACACTAAACACACAGACACACACTAAACACACACTAAAAACACACTAAACACACACTAAACACACAGACACACACTAAACACACACTAAACACACAGACACACACTAAACACACACTAAACACACAGGCACACACTAAACACACACTAAACACACACACAAACACACACTAAACACACACACACTAAACACACACTAAACACATACTAAACACACACACACAAACACACACACAGACACTAAACACACACTAAACACACACACACTAAACACACACTAAACACACTAAACACACTAAAAACACACTAAACACACACTAAACACACACACACTAAACACACACTAAACACATACTAAACACACACACACAAACACACACACAGACACTAAACACACTAAACACACACTAAACACACACTAAACACACACAAGCAGACAAACACACAGTCCCCCTCACACTCCACATGGGCCCCGCTCTCTCCTCTGTTTTAAATGTGCCGTTAAAATTACTATAAATCACACTTTTTTTTCATGGTTTGGGTGTTTCCTGAGACTTATACTCAGGTGTGACTTAGGCCTCGTTCACACTAGTGTGTATGTGAGCGGTGTTGGTTGTGGGTACAGTGTTTGTTCACATTAATCCAATGGAAAACGGATGGAAAACGGAACTCGTGGTGCCTCCAGCTCCATGAGTTCATGTTGGTACAGATCTGATCCGGTACCGTGTGGACGCCTGAAAACACTGATACTCTGATGTGTGTCTGTCACCACCAACTCATTCACCACAAAACACTAAGACACACAATATGTGTCCATTCATATAAACGTGTGTCTGTGTGCACCACCTGCACACGTATAATGTGTGAAAAGTTTCGCGTGAACCAACAACACGACACAAACACAGAACAGACTCACCATCAGCAGAACACCCCTCTGTCACAGAGAGAACACCCCTCTGTCACAGAGAGAACACCCCTCTGTCACAGAGAGAACACCCCTCTGTCACAGAGAGAACACCCCTCTTTCACAGAGAGAACACTCATATTCCACTGAGTCGTGTCATGAAAGAGCTGTTTTTTTTTCAGAGCGCCTAGTTTATGCAGATGAGCCAATTTTAAGTTTTGTTTCTGTAAAATGTAAACAAATCTGCTCAAAGTTGTGTGGAGAAGACTTGTGTGGACACAGAAACGACGTGTGTGGATGCAGATCGTTTCCGATACGATGATACGGTGATATGGTGATTCGTTTCAGTGTAAACGTATATATTATTAATATGTTTTTGGTGAAGTGTGGAGAGGTTCTAGTCTTGTGTGTGAGGATCTGCTGCTCCTGTTCCTCCTGTACCACTGTCACTTGGCTCTACTGCGCATGTCTCCTGCAGAAAGAGCCTCTGTTCTGTCTGTATCATGTCAGTGTCTTGGAGGATTTCAGCAGATTTCAGACTCTCTCGGGGGGCGGGGATAGGTGTATGGGTCAGGTATGAGCAGATGTCCAGCTAATGAAGTTTGCGATGTTTCTTCTTGTCATTTGCGCACTCACCTGATTTAACACATACGGCTCATGAAGACGAATCCCAATCACTAATGTTCATTTGGCATCAGAACTTATTTTATCACACAGCGATAAACTCTTAATCATATTCTGCAAGCTGCAAGTAGAGAAATCTGCAGCCGAAAATGGTAATCGAGCAGCAGAAAGAAAGTTTGGAGTGAGACAGAAACTTGTGAGGGATAGGAGAAAAGCGAAGGAAACTCAAATTGCAAAGAAGAAAACAAAAAAGCTCATTGCGGACTAAAAGCAAGATTTAAATGGAGTTGGCCAAGTTGTTCAGAAGTGACACCAAGGATAAAGAATTGAAGGGATTTAGTGATTTGGAGTGAGATGGAGAATTTGGGTAAACTTGTTCTGTTCTTTTGTTTATGTTATAGTTTATCTGAAGAACTGTGAAATATGTGACGTTAACAGTCTGTTTTTCTCTCTTCTATTGTTTTTACTACAACTTTACACAGGAAATGTCTGCTCCTGATCTCTGATTTTATAAAATACATTTACCCCAAAAACTGACACTTATACATGTTTTTTTTCTTCTTCATTAGGCATTTTTGGATGGTGCGACTTTATACTCCGGAGTGACTTATAGTCCAGAAAATACGGTAATATAAATAAACGTTGTTCTTGCCGCTCTCTCGTGCAGATCCTGGGCATCGAGTGGCTCCTGGGCGGCTCATCTCTGTGGCCCCTGCTCCTGTCCTTCACCGTGCTGCCCGCTCTGCTGCAGTGCGCCCTGCTGCCCTTCTGCCCCGAGAGCCCCCGATACCTGTTCATCAACTGCGGGCAGGAGAGCGAGGCCCACGAAGGTACTGGACCAAACAGACCCGCTTTAAACCCACGACACAAACAGACCCGCTTTAAACCCACCACCCAAACAGACCCGCTTTAAACTCACGACCCAAACAGACCCGCTTTAAACCCACAACCCAAACAGACTCACTTTAAACCCAGACTGTGAGGGTCCAAGAGCAGCAGAGTCCCACCTTAAAGGGCCCAGAATGTGGTTTCCTCGTCACACAAGGAGCTGGAGTTGTGTTTTGTTTCATTCACATGTTTAACACACAAACCTGCACATTTAACACAAGTTAAACTGAAAACACTCTGTTCCACCTTGTGATGTCATCATGTGGTGATACAGGAACTGTGCTTTGTAAACTCCACACACTTTCACTAGAATCATTTGGATCATTTCAGACTCTGGAGTTGCGAATTTCTAATGAACTAAAGGGAAAAGGAGCTGTTCAAACTGTTGAAAATGACAACTTCATGACATCACAAGGTGGAACAGAGGATTTTGGGCTTTGGAGATGTAGACAGACTAATAATAAAGAGTTACTCAGACGTATGTGAATGAAACAAAACACAAGTCCTGTTTTTGATGAGGAACAACATTCAAACGTGATGAATGAATGAATTATTTATGAAACAAAACCATTCTGTGCTGGAGCTTCTGCAACACTTTATATTATAATTGTGTTTTTGTGTGTTTATTGTGTAGCGTTTGGATGAATGAAATGTGAAATGTGGGACCAGACGCTCAAATCTGCAAAACAAATTTACCTATGAGTACATATAAAACGACTGAGCTGAACCTTTTAACTTAAAGGGCCCATCTGATGCAAAATCAACTTTTCAGATCTTTCTACCTCCTCAGAGTGATGTGTGGGCCTTGGATTGGTCACTGAAGTGGTTTTTAGATTGATTTGGCATTTTTGTAACAAATTGCAGCGTATTTCTGCCACCCTCCTACGTGACGACGAACTAAAGCTGCTACAACGACGACGCGACACATTTGACGTAACAGAAAATGCTTCACACCCACATCCACCTCGCCTCCACCCCGCATCGTCTGACAATTCCCACATGAACCTAAACAAAAGCGACAGCAGAAGCTCATTGTTCTACACTGCAGTTACACGATATAATAAGTTGATCTACTAGTGTTTATTAAAACTTTACCAATCAGTAATGTTCAGCTGATGTGGACTCGGTGCTTGAGCTTCGTGCTCCTCAAAGTCCTCGTCCGATTCCTGGTCCAACACATGCGGCTGAACGCGCTGTATCTCCATGATGAATAAAAGTTTATTCCTGCCTCTGTCAGGGTCACGTCTGTCTCCCCCTCCCTCCCTGAGACGGCGGAGGAAGGGCGGCTCACTCGTCGCCTACGTCACGTTTGGAGGGCGGAGCTTGTGCTTTCTCAGGACGGGCGGGGGGAGGAGCGATAGTCGGACTTTCATAGTTCCTGGTCTGTGACTGATCCAAGAAATCAGGAAGATTTCAGAACTATTGTGTAATGGATGTTCCAAAACCCAAACTGTGCTTGAATATGTGCAGAAGACACAATGTGAAAAGAGTTATTTTACATCAGATGGGACCTTTAAAGCTCACGGGAGTTAGATTTGTGTGACTATAGGACCTTTTTAAAGCTCAGATTGTGAGTTGTGTCCTTGTGTGTTGAGTCCTGGTGAAGCTGCGCGGCACAGAGGAGGTGAGCGAGGACCTGCAGGAGATGCGTGAGGAGAGTCAGAGGATGCAGAGGGAGAGGAGCGTGTCCATCCCAGAGCTGCTGCGCTCGGTCCAGTACAGACAGCCCCTGATCGTGGCCGTCCTGCTCCAGCTCTCGCAGCAACTGTCCGGCATCAACGCGGTCAGTCCGACACACTGTAAAACACAAGAACAACAACTTTATCAGTCCAACATGCCGCAAAACACAAGAATAACCAATCAATCAATCAACAACTTTATTGATCCCAGGGCAGTTCAGTTTGCAGATTTCTGTTTGAACATAAACCATAAAAAAAAATCATGTCCATACAACTCACAGCAAACAAACCTCAGAGCATCAGGAGACATGAAGATAAGCAAATTTACTTTCCATTTCAAAGCTTCATTCGTTCATTCATTTTTCAAAATAAAACCAAAAATAAGAAAACAAAAAAACAACTATTTTCTTCATTATTTGTGTCCAAAACCAAAATGAAAAAACAGATAATGATTTGTTTTTTAAATTTTTTCGATTTTGTGTTTAAATGAAAAATGGAAAAAAAAAAAAGGATAACGGACCAAACCAGGACTAAACTGGTCTCAGTCCTGATCACCCGACAGTCTAGCGGGCGCACCTCTGGTCCTGTCCCGACACTCCTGGTTCAGTCCTGGTTCAGTCCTGTTTTAGTCCTTATGAGGTTTTGAACCACTAACCCTGTCGTCTGTGGGCAGGTCTTCTACTACTCCACTGGGATCTTCGAGAGGGCGGGCGTCGCTCAGCCCGTCTACGCCACCATCGGGGCGGGAGTCGTCAACACGGCGTTCACCGTCATCTCCGTGAGTTTCACCGCACGAACACGACTCCAGAGAAAACAGAGCAGACGAGACACACGTCTCATCACGTTTTATTTTATGAAGTGTTTTGTATCTGTTGGTGTAGAAATTTTAACAAAAAAAGTTTTTAAAAAGTCCATGAAGGTTTGGACTGATTTTCATCTGAACAATTCTAAAATAATTGTACTTATTGATAAACCACCTCATACTGTACGTCTGTGTGACCTCTGACCTCTGTGTGACCTCTGTGTGACCTCTGTGTGACCTCTGTGTGACCTCTGTGTGACCTCCGCGTGTGTGACCTCTGTGTGACCTCTGTGTGACCTCTGTGTGACCTCCGTCTGTGTGACCTCTGTCTGTGTGACCTCTGTGTGACCTCTGTGTGACCTCTGTGTGACCTCTGTGTGACCTCTGTCTGTGTGACCTCTGTCTGTGTGACCTCTGTCTGTGTGACCTCTGTGTGACCTCTGTCTGTGTGACCTCTGTCTGTGTGACCTCTGTGTGACCTCTGTCTGTGTGACCTCTGTGTGACCTCTGTCTGTGTGACCTCTGTGTGTGACCTCTGTGTGTGACCTCTGTCTGTGTGACCTCTGTGTGACCTCTGTCTGTGTGACCTCTGTGTGACCTCTGTCTGTGACCTCTGTCTGTGTGACCTCTGTCCTCTGTCTGTCCTCTGACCTCTGTCTGTGTGACCACCTCTGTGTGCCTCTGTGTGTGACCTGTGTGACCTCTGGTGACCTCTGTGTGTGACCTCTGAACGACGTTGCCGTCTGCTGCAGCTCCACACTGAGTCTGAGTCTGAACTAAAACAAACACAGAGGTTTTAGATTTATTTTACAGAGTCTAGATATTCTTTTATATTTAATTAAAGCGTCACTGTGATTATTTGGGTTTATTATTGGGATGATTATGTCACAATAAAACAGAACGAGTCACTTTAAAATCTTTTAAAAGTGAAATTTTTATTTTCTCAATCTAAATCTTTGATCTGTTTGTGTCACTTTAACTTTACTTAATTTTAAATTTCCTGACGCAGCAACAAACCTGGAGATGGTTCAAGTTTGAGCAGAGAAAAGGATTTCAGATTTTGGGTCAAAAACAGAAAAACTGTTAAAGGTTAAAGAAGCATTCTGGAGCTTTTCTAATCATGTTCAGACTCATTGTCTTGACTGGAATGTCCCACAGTGTGGCATTAAAAATTCCTCTCTTGCTTTAATTAAAGTTTTTTTATCACTCTAAAATATTTTAAAATGAGGTGTTCTTTCTGAGAGCGGCTCAGCTCTCCACAGATCTGACTCGTTCTGCTCGTCTCTGTGGTGAGAAGTTTAATGTCATAATGAAAACTTTCCAGGCGTCTCCATGGAGACAGGCCGGTGGTGATCAGAAAAGTCCCACAGTGCCTCTTTAGTGAACAGAGATGTTTCTTCTCGCTCTGACCCTGAACTTTTCCCTGGAAACCTTGTGACCTGTGGATCTTGTGTCCTTCAGGAGAAGCTCGCCTGGATGTCGTACATCAGCATCGCGGCGATCTTCAGTTTCGTGGCGTTCTTTGAGATCGGTCCGGGGCCCATCCCCTGGTTCATCGTGGCGGAGCTCTTCAGTCAGGGGCCCCGGCCGTCCGCCATCGCCGTCGCCGGGTTCTCCAACTGGTCGGCAAACTTCCTGGTGGGAATGTGCTTCCAGTACGTCGAGGTGAGACTCCGAAGAAACTTTGTTATTTTAACCACTTTAGGTTCAGTTCTGAAGGACAATTATAAACTCAGAAGTGGTAAAACTCTTTTTAGAGAAGAAGACATTTGCTTTTGGAGATATTTACTATTAAACTATAACATTGGTCAATATTTCACATTTTGTTAATTGTAAAGTGAAATATTTATTTAGAACTATTTCTAAAAACAGAAATGGACGTAACAGCCTCATTATCTGTTGGCTGATGTTTATCTGGTTCCACCACGTCCACAGTTGATGGATTTTCATAATTTTCCTCCAGACAAACTTTAATGTTCTTCTGTTCCTCTGTTTAATTTCACTGCTTCTTCATTTCAGCAACTGTGTGGTCCGTACGTCTTCATCATCTTCACGGTTCTGCTGCTCGGCTTCTTCGTCTTCACCTACTTCAAAGTCCCAGAGACCAAAGGACGCACGTTTGAGGAGATCTCCGCAGGCTTCAGGAGGTCAGGAGGAGCAGACAAGTACAGCGCGGCAGAGGAGTTCAACACCCTGCACGGAGAAGACCCCGACCTGTGAGCCGCGCTTCAGACCGGACTCACCTGGAGGAGACTGGACTCACCTGGAACAGACCACACCCACCTGGAGAAAACCACACCCACCTGGAGAAAACCACACCCACCTGGATGACCCTGCATTCAATTATCTTTCGACTCCAACTTGGACCTCGGATTTGATGTCATGTCTGAGTTTGAAGCCTAATAAGTTTGGCGTGTCGGATATTATTATTATGATTATGATTTTCCTCTTATTTTCATCTTATTACGCTGCCACTTTAATTTAATTTTTTTAATTTGCACTTGATTTTATGTTATGATTTCTCTTCAGTTCAACCTCAGGGACATTAACACCCGATAAATCAAGTATTTGTTCAATATTGGTCTCAGCACAACACGACTCCCAAACCCACAGACAGTGACTCAGACGCGGTAAAGTACAACAATGAAAACACTTCATATTTACAGGTCACAGTGGGCGGAGCCTCTTGATTCGGAGTCCTTACTCGGTCGACTTTTTTTGCCACCGCGGTTCGAGTCGGGCCGTCCCAGGAAAAGGGGCGTGTCGAGCGTGTTGCTAGGCAACTTCCTCGGAAAACCAACTCGGAAGGATGATCGAATGCAGGGTCAGACCACACCCACCTGCATCAGACCACACCCACCTGCATCAGACCACACCCACTTGTAGCAGACCACACCCACCTGCATCAGACCACACCCACCTGGATCAGACCACACCCATGTGCATCAGATCACACCCACCTGCATCAGACCAAACCCATGTGCATCAGACCACACCCACCTGGATCAGATCACACCCACCTGGATCAGACCACACCCACTTGGATCAGACCACACCCACCTGGATCAGACCAGACCCACCTGGATCAGATCACACCCACTTGGATCAGACCACACCCACCTGGATCAGATCACACCCACCTGGAGCAGACCACACCCACTTGGATCAGACCACACCCACCTGCATTAGATCACACCCACCGGGATCAGACCACGCAGACCACACCCACCTGCATTAGACCACACCCACCTGCATCAGACCACACCCACCTGCATCAGACCACACCCACTTGGATCAGACCACACCCACCTGGATCAGATCACACCCACCTGGAGCAGACCACACCCACTTGGATCAGACCACACCCACCTGCATCAGACCACACCCACCTGGAGCAGACCACACCCACCCGGACCTTGTTAGGGGTTTTGTGTACTAGAGTGTGGATCAACCGAATTTTACTGTCCGTGTCTGGCCCACGTCTGACGCGGAGCAGTGACCGAACCTGATCGAACCCGACCCAGTTAAAATCACACTATTTCCTTGGGCCTAATGACACACGTAAGATATTGTTTGTTCCTCTAACGGACACAGAGACGCAAAATACAAACTCAGGATAGAACGAAAATAAGAATTAGACTTTGTTACAAAGTTTGTAAATTTGTCGTCTGTAAATAATGATAAATAAAAGTAAAAAGGTGAGAGTAGTTCCTCATGTGTGTTTGTTTACGTCCACACAGCGCACGGATCGAGCTGAAGCTGCAGATTCTCCACAGCGACTCGACTTCCCCACCACTTTATCTCCAGTCTTTGACACTTTAAAAATCTTGTAGCTGAAGTTTTGCTCCTCATTTCACACATAATAATCACACAGTTTGGACTTGGATCGAAACTAGAAGTGCAGAGTCTGATCTTTGACACTTCACAGTCTCAGAGTAGAAGTTCTAAATATTTATCCAGACCTGTTGGACTTCGGTCGGGTTTCCATGCTCTACTGTGACCTGGAACTAAACACAAAATCAACCTTTTTTTTACGACTCAACTGTGTACATGTGTTTAATATTATAGTATTTTTTGTCAACTTAAAGGTCCACTGTGTAACTTTTCTGGTGGAGGGTCCGTCAAATGCTTTTCTCCATGGAGATGTTCCACAGTGTGACATTAAACTTTACATTTATTCAATTACAGGTGGTTTCAAAGCTCAAAAAATACTCAAAAACCCATAAAAGGCATTTTGAATGTGAGTGGGGTCGCCTCTCCACAGATCTGACCTTTAACTTAGTCTGGTTTGGTCTCTGTGAAGATAGAAAGGTTTAATGCCATACTGTGGAACAATCCAGACAAAACAATAACATCTCCATGGAGAAAAGCGATCCATGTGTCATTTCATTTGTTTTTCAAAATAAAACCAAAAATAAGAAAATGAAAAAAAAATATAAAAAATTCTTTATTATTTGTCTCCAAAACCAAAATGAAAAAACAGATAATAATTAGTTTTTTCGGTTTTCGATTTTGCGTTTAAATGAAAAATGGAAAAAATGGATAACGGACTGAAGAAAATCTTTTTTTCGTTTTCTTATTTTTGGTTTTATTTTGAAAACGAATGAACGAATGACACATGGATTAAAAGCGTTTGACGGACCCTCCACCAGAAAAGTGACACAATGCAGCTTTAAATGAAACCTGTTGTAACCTACTGTTGGAACTTTGAATCAAACTTTGTGGGTTTTAGCTGTCAACGAACTGAAATAGAATCGACTTAAAAGCATTTTCACACAATAAATGATTTTCACACAATAAATGTTACTTTAAAAATGGATCTTCTGGCCTCATCAGTGCTCCTTACTCCTGTGCACTCGTGTTCAGTTGTACATTTACATTTCAGGATTCATTTCCAATGGGATAGTTGATTTATTTTGGTTTTATTTATTATAATTTAGTTTTATTTCCTTTATCTCAGCACAGAAAGTCACCAGAGTAATTGTAATCTGTCTGTGTGATTCTGCGTTTGTGTCCCGCCGAGCAAAAATGTTTTAAGACTGTCCGGCTAATCTCACTAAAGAGCCTCAGTCAGACCTGATGAATAAAAACATGACAGATTTTACACAAACATGACGTTTATTAAGATGAAAAACATGTGCAAAACAGCTCAGAAAGAAGTACTTTTTATTACACTTCACTTTGTAATACTTAGTGAAACATAACCTGTTCAGAACCACGACTCTGAAAACATGAAAACTCAAAAAAACAAAACGTGAGTCTGGAGCGTAGAATGTTTATAGAAATGAACATTGAGTCACATTAGAATCTTATGTCTCTTTTCTCTCTGGACCTGAAAATGTTCTTATTAACCTGCTCGAAATGATCCTGGGGTTTTTATTTCACTCTTTTGTCCATTTTCAAAATCATCGCGATCTTCATTTGACTAGAGCCGAACGCTGTGGGTGACGTCACACGCAGCTACGCTGCAAGGCCTCCAAATATAAAATGTGAATGTAGAGAGCATGATTGCCTTTCACTTTGGTGTTGACTTTTTAAATTCATAACCGAGGTTGAGCGAGAGATCGGGATTTTGTTTTGTCGTGGCTCCACATACAAAATGTTCTCTGTAAACTCGGGATGATTTCTTAGTCAGACAAATGTTTCCTTTTTGGTTCTTCCTGTGGATCAATCCTGCCCATCACCTTCACCTTTCACTATTTTTCAATTCTGTTGGGAAGAGAAACAGTTTGAACAGAGGTTTGAGTCACACACATCTGATTCACTTTTGCATTTATGAAGTTCACAAACAAATGTCTCGAGTCGTTTTCCGCTGTTTGGATCCAACAACCACAACAATTAACGATGTCCAAATCCCAAAACTAAAATATGACAATATCAGAAGCAGAAACAAAAGTGATATGGTTCAAAAGACTTGAAAAGATCCACTTTGTCAATAGACACGTCCCACTGGGAAAACAAACATGGAGGTTTGACGATCACTTTTTCAGGAAATCCTTCCTAGTATGAATTGTACGATGACCAGAAGTCTGAGATTCGTGATAAATGTATTTGTCCTTGTGGTTTGCATAAATAAGACCCACAGCGTTCAGCTCCAGTCAAATGAAGCTCCATATTAATGATTGGAATATATTTTAAAAAATTTATGAAAAAATAAAAACATGTGGATCATGTGGAGCGAGTTAACATGAACATTTTAAGACCAAAATGACGAGGCTCACAGCAGCAGGTCCAGAGAGAAAACAGGAGCCACAGTTTTTCAGTACAAAGTGAGTTGGAGCCAGAGACAGTGGAGCCTGAATCCCCCCCATGCTCACTTCCTACTGTTCCAAACAGGTCACATCCATTTATCATTTATAGAAACAGTCTGCGGTCTGAACTTTCACTGAAGTGTTTGTGCAGCAGCTCGAGTCTGAACAGGAGTTTGAAAAGGTTGAACTGGATTCTAAAGCTCCAGGACCTTTGTGTTTTTAGCTTTAAATTGTTTCACTTTTTTCACTTTGGGTGATTTTTCTTCATTTCACATTTCAGACTAAGTTCAGCTGACACAAGCGACACAAAACGTCTAATTCAGAATCCTTCAGCGATGAATCAAAACAAGAAAACAACTACATTAAAAATAAATATAATGCACATAAAAAGAGTCAGCACAGAAACGTTAGAGATTCAAGATTCAGTTCATGTGAAACTTTACTCAGGTGTTTCTTACAAAAGTCCGTTTCAACTCAACTCGGTCACTGTTAATGGGCTTGAATTCCAACAGAACAAAGAAAATAAAACATGAAAAAAAAAATTAAGTCTTTGATTTTAAATTCTATGAACACGAGTGACCTGTTAGGCTGGTCCAAACATTTTTTTTAGATTCTCTAGATCAGAACCTGCATTTGGTTCCATATGTGGACAAAATATTTGGGTCCAAATTTTATGCAAATTAATGAATATTTAGAGTTTGTTCAAAACACTTGAAAATGTCTCTGTGGATTAAACCAGGAGAGTCCAACTCATCTGCATGTTTTCTCTTCTTTGGAGATCTGTTATGTTAAACTTTTTCTAATTAAAATAAATGTTTAATAATAGTTTTGCTTAAACACTGAATCCAGAACAAACAGAATATAAAATAATAACAACATTTTAAATAAATCATGTCTCTATAGTCGATCTGTAACCAGCAAGCGCCAGCTCTAATACAGATTTGATTTGATCTCACAGGACAAATATAATTATATCGTGGGCTAAATTTGGCCCCCGGGCCTGAGTTTGACATGTCTGATCTAAACTTTAACACAGA